CAGAGAAAGATGAAAGCAAAGACTGATTCATACTCAGGTCTGACGGATCTTTTGAGTTGTGCCATTTTCTCTCTGCTGCTCTGAGTTTGGTCCGATGCTCACGAAGAATATCAGATAACCAGGGGTTAGAAGGGGCAGCCAATGCTGGCCTGGAGGAGAGAGGACAAATATCATCTAGACAAGAGGTTAAAGTAGAGCATAAAGTGTCAGTTGCTGCATTCACATCCAGAGATGAGAGATGGGTAGGTGAGGGAAGAGAGGAGGACACTACAGAGGAAAGATAGGAGAGGGAAAGGGAGCATAGGTTTCATCTAAAGGTAACCGGTATAGGGGTTGGTAGCACCCAGGTAGCAAAATGTAGTTTAAATGTAATGAAGAAGTGGTCAGAGATATGAAGGGATTCTACCAAAATGTTGTCTGCAATACAATTGCGTGTGTAAATTAAGTCAAGTTGGTTGCCTGATTTGTGCATGCTTGTAGTGTTAAGGTGTTTGAGATCAAATGAAGCAAGGAGTGAATGGAAGTCTGTAGAATAAGGCTGGAATAAGGATACCACACCATGAAAAGGTGAAATTATCAAATATTTAAGAGCAATAAATTCACTTTTTTATGCAGCACCACACAGTCTTCAGGGTGCCATCTGATGATGTCAAGTCCCCTGATTATTTAAATACTTAAAAAAACTGTTAAGACATATCCTTTTAATATAACACTGCCAACACTTATTTGAAAATACCAAGACAACATATATATTTATAACCTGGTATTTTCTATGTTTATTTAAAGATGTAATGGCAAAATCAAAGTCCGGACCATTACACTGAATGACAATTTTACACTTTGGGATTCACACTCGCTTAATCTTCTTAATCACTTTTAGATTTATTTTAAAATTGCAGCAGAGAACAATCAAACATTTCGGCAGTAAGCCTTCTTCAGTGAATCATACAGTGACATTCCCTACAAGAGTTCTTAAAAAAAGAAATGAAGTCCAAAGATCACCAGGTGAAAAGTCACATAACAGGTGTTACTAATCACAAACTTAATTGACCAATCAATCAAGCAATTTCAGGACAAACAACCAAAGATACTTCCAAAACATTCAACACATAAAAATAACATACCAATATAGGCACAAGAGAAAAGCATATAACACAAATAATCCATCAAAAATAAAAATAAATAAAAGAAATCTACATCAATACCATCAACATAAATTAAAGTGGGGAATGAGCCGATGCATCAGGCCACAAGCCGTTCATTAGTCCGTATCGTATCACCCACTGTAACCAAACAATAAAGGGTTAAACAACTTATTAATTCTTAAAGAAAACGAGAAATCAAAGTCCTCATTTAAACCCAAGGGAGACAGACCTTTTATGCCGAGTTCACACTGCATGATTTTAGCCCGATTTTTCACTCGCCGACAGGTATTGCGAAATCGCCGACAAATGCCCGAAATCGGAGGCAAATCGGTGCTCGTTCACGCGAGTGACAATCACGCAGTGTGAATTATCAAAGACGCGATCTGAGGGAATCGTCGACACGTCGCCGACACCTGTGAAATATTTGGCATGCTAAATATCTGGAGCTGTCGGCGATTCACAATCACGCTGTGTGAAAAACACATCGGCGATGACTTACAGTCAATGAGAGACCAAGATACAGGGCAGAGGGAAGTTCAGGGAGGAGTTAAATTAAACGTAGTTTGCGGACCAGTGTTGCCAAATTCATGATTGCCGCCGGTTGTTTTTTATGTCAGCAGGTTGAAGCGACCCCAATAACATGATATTTAGGCCCTGGAATGTGAAATGTACCAGGAGAACCCTGCCAAAAAAAATTTTATTTTACCCCCCGAATGGGATTTTTACTGGGGGACCCCCTCGAAAGCAATTGGGCTATTTTCAGGCTAGTTTTGAGTAGTAATTGGGCGGGTTTTGTAGCAAAAACCTGGCAACCCTGCACCAGACAGAGCTGTCGGCGATTCTTCCTATTGTGAAGTCATGCAATGTGAAACCCCCTGTCGCTGATCCACCGTGCAATGTGAACACAGCAGCAACTGAATGCTACCCCAGATTGTCACGCAGTGTGAAAACAACTGCGATCCGACGAGTTTGAAAATCGTGCAGTGTGAACTCGGCATTAGTCGATACTAGGGCTGGCTCAATACCACTTTTTCACAACCGATACCGATTCGATCCCAAAACATCTGAGTATCTGCCGATACCGATATCGATCCGATACTAGCACAGGTTTTTTTAATCTGTGTAGAATTTCTATACCTCAATATGTAGGTCAATCATCAATCTTTTGTATGTTACACACAATCTACTAAATATAGACAGCTTCATTATAAAGAAAAATAGCAAACAAAAAAATATATAATCATAATCTATGACAAAAATACTATTAAAAACTAGGTTAATGGATAATTCTGTAGCATAAGTTACTCTAGAAAAAGCATGAGTGCACAATAATTTTATAAAATACTAAACTTTTAGTGAGAAAAAAAACATTATTTAGTGGGTAACAAATAAAAGTGAATAAGTTTAGGACTAAATCTGGTAGGCCTACACATTGCTCTTTGTATTGTTGTAAAATACATTAATGAAAAACAAGTAATATATTTAGTCAGCATTTGAAGTGGATTATCAAAACCTTTCATCAAATTTGTCCCAAAACTTCACTTCACAACATTTGATCCACTTCAAATGTTGACTACTGTATAAATTAAAATACATTTATTTTAAATGTATAGCAGAGTAATGAGGCAGCAACATATGACAGATAAGACGAACAAGAAAGGCTATTAATAATCTTTCATTGCGCAAAAGTATTATAATACTAAAGGCTCCAAATACGGCGTGGCACAAAGCGCTTATGCGCATCCTGTGGACAGAATGATGCGCTTGAAGCAACACTGAGTCACAGCGTGCAGTGCTCCGCATAGAGCAGTTCAAAGCACAAAGTGAAGAGATATTGATGCGTATTAAATATGTGCGTTAGTTTATTGAGCCTTTTCTTTTCACAGTTTTAAATTTCAGTTACTGTGCTCGTGACGAACAATTCATAGTGCTCTGTACTCCAGTGTTGTGATCTAACCAGATATCCGGTAGAAATTTACACGATTTAGAAACAGCACGAAACTCCAGCAATATAAATTCCTTTTATGCGAAACCATTTACAGATCAAGTATAACATTAGGAACATTTAAACGTCTTGGAGAGAGTTTTATCGTCTTGGCTGTCAAAATAGTATACGCACTATATCGGATTTGGATCGGTCTCGTCTGACCGATACCCTGATCCAGCAGAAAAGGTCAGTATCGAAGTGATACCGATACTGAATATCGGATCGGCGCACCCCTAGTCGATATATCCAATAAGCTTCTCTTTGTAAAAGTTTTTTCTCTATGTTACCACCTCTTCTGGAAATTGTTACTTTTTCGATACCTATACAACTTAAATCCTTAATGTTATGAATACAATCATGAAAATGTCTTGCGATTGGTGAATTCACATCACATCTCCTGATAGCAGATTTATGTTCACTAATATGAATTTTTAGCTGGCGACTCGTTTTTCCGATTTAAATAAATGGGCATGGACATTTTAACATATAAATCATATTAGATGTAGAGCGGGTAATTAAAGATTTAATAAAAAACGTTTTACCAGAATGTACATCACTAAATTGATTGGTTTTTTTTATCGATGAGCAGGCGGCACAATTCCTACAGGGAAAACAACCTTTTATAAATGTGTTAGTCTTGTCAGTATAAATATCAGATTTTACCAATCTATTTGCTATATTATTTGATCTTTTATAGATAAACAAAGGATAGTTTTTAAAAATATCACCTAAAGAAAGGTCAGTTGAAAGAATATTCCAATATTTTGTTATAATTTCCTTGATCTGATAAGACTGTTCGCTAAAAGTCAAAACACATTTAACTGAAAAAGATTTCTTTGTTTTTTTATTAGGTTTGTGTAATAATTGTTGTCTATTTAACACTTTAACTTTATCATATGCCGACTGAAACCAAGCATGTGGATACCCACGAGCTTCGAATTGACTAAACAATATGCGAGATTGTTCCTCGAAACTTTCTTACGAATCACAGATTCTACGTAGTCGATTAAATTGACTCAATGGCAAACCCTTTTTTAATGAGAGAGGGTGAAAATTATCCGCCGCAAGAATTGTATTTCTATCTGTTGGTTTCTGGAAGAGAGTGGTTCTTAATTTTTTCGTGGTCCTTCACCATTAACACATACAAAAAATTATAGTGTTATGGTCTCGTTCCATCGAAAATGAAATCAATGTCAATCTGGAATTGAGAAAATTAACAAATTCTACCAACTCTTCCTTCGTTCCTGTCCAAATAAGAAAACAGTCGTCAATATAACACCACCATAATTTTACATATTTCAAAAAAGGATGATTGTGATAAACATATTCTGCCTCAAATTTCCCCATAAACAAGTTTACATAGTTTGGAGCTAATGGAGTACCCATGGCAGTTCCATGTGTTTGTAGATAAAAATCATTATTAAACATTAAATATTTTTTTGTCAAAACAAACATAATCATCTCAGTGATAAATTCAACTGATTTTTCAGAATTATTGGAGTTTATGAAAAAAGTAATGGCTTCTAAGCGAGTGCGGATCCCTTAGATTATATGTGTTGATTGATCTACGCACCCTAGACTAAAGTTGAGCGCAGTGAACTTTATTTTTTCATGAATTTTACACTTGGAACAGTATTTCCCCCATATTTTGACATTTCATTTTCACATGCATTTACTTGCATTTAACACATTTTTTATATATTTAAAATCACTTTTGTAAATGTAATTTGTAATTTGTAAACCAAAATGTTGATGTCTCGCCAAATGTGACGCAACTTACTTAGACACGTCACTCAAACACAGAACCAGGAAACAGGAAACACATGTGTTCAGGGAAAGAGAAACTGTAGAAGTGTAGCTGAGCTGTTGTGTGCCTGTGTCTCTGTATTCAAGCAGTAAAATGTCAGAAGCCAGAATTTTTCAGGATGAGTTCTCGTGTCCAGTGTGTCAGGATCTCCTGAAGGATCCAGTGACCATTCCCTGTGGACACAGTTACTGTGAGAGCTGTATTACAGGCTGCTGGGATCAGGAGAATCAGATGAGAGTCTACAGCTGCCCTCAGTGCAGACAGACCTTCAGTCCAAGACCTGCTTTAGCTAGAAACACCACGCTGTCTGAAGTGGTGGAGAAACTGAAGAAGAGGAAGCGTCTTGCTGACTGTGATGCAGAAGCTGGAGATGTGGAGTGTGACGTCTGTACTGGAAGAAAATACAAAGCGTTCAAGTCCTGTCTGATGTGTCTGAACTCTTACTGTCAGCATCACCTCGAGCAACATGAGAGTTGGTTTAAAGGAAAGAGACACAGTTTGACTGAAGCCACTGGACGACTGCAGGAGATGATCTGCCAGAAACATGAGAAGCTTCTTGAGGTTTTCTGTCGCACTGACCAGAAATGTATATGTATGCTGTGTACGATAGATGGACATAAAAACCACGACACTGTATCAGCTGCAGCACAGAGGACAGAGAAACAGGTATTTTTAAACTAGTGATCAAGTTAATACTCAGTGTAGTGATCCAACAGTCCACGTGTCAAACTCAAGGTCCCACATCCTTTTATGTGGCCTGCGGGAGCATATGATTGTCTTAAAATAAAAATCTATGCTGCTTTATATCGTAAATTATGATAACATAACAGTTTACATTTAGTCATTTAGCAGACGCTTTTATCCAAAGCGACATACAAATGAGGTCAATGGAAGCAATCAAATCATAATCAAATCACATTATTAATACCACGAGTTTCTGTTTCTATATGGAGTGCTATTTATACGAAATAGTTAGGATTAGAGGTGAGGAGTAGGTGCGTGTATGCCAAAACTGCATATCATATGCACACCAAGACATTGCGTACAGTGCTTGAAGTGGGCCGGCACTTTTTCGCGTGTACCGGCACTTCTGACATGTTGCTTACAGTACTTAACAGTCAAAGCGTCAGTATATGAGTGATTAGAAATGACACGATATAAACCACACTACCCAGGAGGGGGCACCATGAATTACCTCTCATCTCGGTCTACCAGGGGTTTTCCAAGTGTGGGCCAGAGCATGTCAGTGGGCATGTTTTCTCTGCATTAGCGCTGTTTTGATCTTACTGTGCAAATGCATTGTCAAATGCAAGTCAATTTCTGAGTACAAATTGCATGCCAAATAGAAACAGAAAATCATGCTATTTATATGCTTTTTCATGAGACCGGGCTCTTTTTTTTTTTTTTTTAATGGCATATCTGTCACACGTTCTTAGCAGCTCACAATTTTTTGTTGTACCATAGTTCTGCCCCTCTCAAATGTAACAAAAAACGTTTTTAACAAAGTTAATGTAATGAATAGTGATTGATGATATTAGTCTTTATTTACTTTGATTTACGGAGTAATGTAAATAATGTAAATAATTTAATAATGTTTTGGGTTGGGGTTTGTCCCATAGCTAATTTTACACAATGATTACAAAATTTGTCTAAAAAGGTTTTTATTTAATGAAAAATTTGCCTTATTACACAAACTATTCTTTTTAAGCTTTTTTTCCCTTCTGGGGCCAGAAATGGAGGAATTTGGGTCAATACTGCTAAAAAAATGTTTTGCTAATATTTTGCTGAATGTGTTTTTGTGCTGGCACCTTGGCTGGTTTAGGACTGTCATGGATAAAGATGACAATAAAACCGCCTGTAGGTAGCATCAAATCCCTGTTTTAATAAATGATTTATTGAATCGTTCAAATCAAACGATTCGTTCTAAATGGCTGATTCAATTAGAAACGAAACAAGTGAATGGACCGCTGAATCACTTGCTCACATAATTCATTCAAAAACAGATTCATTAAAGGAATGAAACACCACATTGCTCTACACTGTTGTATAAAATTATTAGCATGTTTATGTGCTGATATTCAGAAAAGTACATTGCTTGTGCAATGAATATAAAAACATAAAAACTCATACATGGGTATTTTTTCTTTCATTGCTAGAATAAGGGCATTCTAACGGCATTCTAATAGGCTTCATCGCGCAGTGAATGCTTCTGGACTCTCAAGATGTGTCTTTGTTTGTTTTTTGCAAAGTCGGTGACATACTCGTCAGCTCTCCTATCGTCTCTCAGTCCCTCACAGTCACACATACAGCACAATGACATTATGTCAGGGGAATGTCTTTAAATTCTAATCAAGGAAAAATCACACCTTCTGTTGTCTTCATTTAAAGAACTTCAAAAGTTGCGCTTGAAGCATTTTGCACGAAAAATTACGGAAACTTGCTTCAGCTTGTGGCAGCTTGTTACAGTACCGAGTTCTGATTGGCCAATCGCCATTTAGTTCGTGAATTATCATAAGTAGAGAATTTTACATAATACACAACATTATTAATCTAAAGGGGATGGTTAGGGGGGATGGTGGTTTCACAGGGGAGATGGTTTTTGTCATTTTTTTTCCACCAGGGGGATGCCATCCCCCCGCATCCCCCCTCAATTCGAGCCCTGCTTACAGTTACAACCGGCCCTATTGTTAAAGTGGCCCTTGGTGAAAATGAGTTTGATACCCCTGCTCTACGTCTGTGTCTGTTTCACTTTCATGATGCAGTGAAACAGGCCTTAATATTCATCATAATTCATGTTCGATGATTGTAACCGATCATCAATTCTGGAGTTTGAACCTACGGCCATTGGTTTATTAGCTCCACTTTTACCGGATTCATCGATGATTTAGTGCCAGTAATTTTCTGAGACATTCACTATCATCCGTTTGTCCTGCAGAAGCAGCTGAAGGAGACACAGGAGACGTTCCAGCAGAGAATCCAGCAGAGAGAGAAAGATCTTCAGCAGCTGAGAGAGGCTCATAAGGTGAGTCTGGAGAAGAAGAGAAGTTTGTCTCCGTCTCAGTTCAGACTCACTGAAGCCTGAATCACTGTGTGTCCTAACAGCGCTCTGCACAGACAGCAGTGGAGGACAGTGAGAGGATCTTAACTGAGCTCATCCGCCCTATTGAGAGAAGCCGCTCTGATCTGATACAGCTGATCAGAGATCAGGAAAAGACTGCAGTGAGTCGAGCTGAAGGACGACTGGAGCGACTGGAGCAGGAGATCAATGATCTGAGGAGGAGAGACGCTGAGCTGGAGCAGCTTTCACACACACAGGATCACATCCAGTTCCTGCAGGTAACAGAGGTCTAGAAGAACAGGATCATAGTGGACTTGAGCAGATCCTGCTGTGACAGAGACTCACAGAGAAACATTTCATGAGTGTTTTATTATATAATCATCAGTCTGACTCTAATCTGATCATCTTCATTTGAAAGAGACGCCGCTTACAAATTGTTTTCAGTTCCGGAAATCTCTTAGGATTAATTTCTCTTGAGCTCTTTCTTTTGGAAGATATATTTAGCTGTCAAACACCACTAGCGCCACCAACAGTTCAAAACTTCACTCACATTTCAACGATAGTACTGATTCTGAGTAATGTTCATCAAAATTGGATCAGGTGATCCTCAAACCTGAAAAAAAAAATTATTGGCCTGAATTTGACCATGAAGACCCCAAACATGAAGTGAGGCTGTATATTAGCAATGCTTCAGTGTATTGAAACCAAACCAAACCTGAGCGTGTCTTAAGGGTCCTTGTTTCAGTGTCTCTAACTGCTCTAAAGTTATAAATAATGGTCAATCTAATCATAGCCTTTGAGCTGCTTTTCCTCAGCAAATCTACTCTCAATCCTACAATGAGACTCCATTGATGTGCTTGAGCTGTTAGATGGACATTTATGTTCTAAGCAGATGTTTTATCATCCAAACCTAGTACCTAGAAAGTTCACATATCGTGTAAGTGACTGATACTAGAATCTGCAGCTCTAATCTGATATAATGAATATAAGAAGAATGAAGCTGATGCTGTGAAAGTGCTGGATTGAGGTGAATTACTAAATATCAGTCAAGTCAACAAGAGCCGCACAAATCTGATGTTGCTGCAGGTTATTGGGTGAAGTGTGGAGCTGATGAGTTTTGATTTCTGTTTTCTGCAGAGTTTCCAGTCTCTCTCAGCACCTCCTGAATCTACAGACGTAAATGATGATCCCTTCATTTCTCTCTTATCTTCTGATGCTCTGAGAGAATCTGTCCATCAGCTGAGAGACAAACTGGAGGATTTCTTCAAAGAGGAGCTCAAGAAGATCTCAGACGGAGGTAAAGTCCTGGAGATTCATCTGCTCTCAGAAACCAGTCCATCATTATCTCATATCATGGAGAACATCATATTAGAAATGTATAAGGAATGAATGCAGGATCATGAGAATCACACTGTTCATGTCTGTTGATTTCCACAGTCACATTCACCAACATTGTTCCCAGAACCAGGAACGACTTCCTACAATGTAAGTCAGTAAGAAAACAAGCAGAAAAACTCACTGAGTGTATTCATGTTCTTCATGTAGAAGGTGAAAGTAGAGTTTTATAATTGATGATGTAAATGATGATTTGCACAGATATCTGGTCACATGTACTGAGACACTGATGATACACTGAACATGAAGAGTTCAGCTACATGAAAAGATCAAACAGATTCATAATTCCTGATTCTGATGTGTTTTATCTCCATCAGATTCCCATCAGCTCACTCTGGATCTGAACACAGCACATAGATACCTCCGTCTGTCTGAGAACAACAGAGTGATTACTGTCGCTTCCACAGTCCAGTCGTATCCTGATCATCCAGACAGATTTGATGTGTATCATCAGGTGTTGTGTAGAGAGAGTGTGTGTGGACGCCGTTACTGGGAGCTGGAGTGGAGTGGGAATGATGGTGTGCGTATATCAGTGTCATATAAGAGCATCAGCAGGAAGGGACGGGGTGTTGAGTGTAGGTTTGGATCTAATGATCAGTCCTGGAGTTTGATCTGCTCTCCCTCCAGTTACTCATTCATACACAATAAGATAGTGACTGTTCTCCCTGTAGAGTCCATCAGCAATAAAATAGGAGTGTTTGTGGATCACAGTGCAGGAACTCTGTCCTTCTACAGCGTCTCTGACACAATGAGCCTCATCCACACAGTCCAGACCACATTCACTCAGCCGCTCTATTCTGGGTTTAATGTTCATAGAGGATCATCAGTGAAATTGTTGATGAATCAGAATTGACTGTAGAGAGTTTCTAACCATAATGCTTTATGCTTAATGCTATATGTTAAATCAGTAACATATAGATATGTTATAGAGTCTCTTCTTTTCTCTTCATGACATTAATACTGCAGCTAAACTTCTGTCAGTGAAATAACATGTCAGAATAAATGTGTTTAATAAATCCTCATATAGACAGTAAGATCATTGTTTGTGTGAGTCCTGCGGAGTGGCCATGTGTTTCTGTGATTTTCTCAACCTCTGTTTGTTTTTAATGTTGTGTCACATCAGTCATTTTATTATTACTATCATAATTACCTTTCAATTTAAAATGATCACACACAGTCAATAAATTTTTTTCATTTTTCACCTTATGGAGCTCCGGACCTTTCCAGTGTTTTGTGTTCTTTTGTCTTCCGGTGAGTCGCTGTTTTGTAGTCAGTCCTGTAGAGGTCATCTCTAGTTGCTGATCCACCATCTGATCTGGATACAGACTGGATCCGGGTGACTGCAGTGACCATCTGATCTGGATACAGACTGGATCTGGTGGCTACGGTGACCTCGGAATAAGAGAGAAACAGACTAATATTAGCGTAGATGCCATTCTTCTAACGATGTAGCAAGTACATCATATGTTATTGGAAGTGTTCCCAGTTCCAGTTGTCCTAATGAATGCAGCCTAACAATCCTGTAACGGATTTGAATATTAGAAATGTGTAAGTGTGTTATGTGTGAGCCAGGTTAAAGAGATGGGTCTTTAATCTAGATTTAAACTGACAGAGTGTGTCTGCCTCCCGAACAGTGTTAGGTAGGTTATTCCAGAGTTTGGGAGCTAAATAGGAAAAGGATCTGCCGCCTGCAGTTGATTTTGATATTCTAGGTTTTATCAAATTTCCAGCATTTTGAGAGCACAGCGGACGTGAAGGACTATAATGCGATATGAGCTCGCTCAAATACTGAGGTGCTAAACCATTCAGGGCTTTATAAGTAATAAGCAAGATTTTAAAGTCTATACGATGTTTAATAGGTAGCCAGTGCAGTGTTGACATAACCGGGCTAATATGCTCATACTTCCTGGTTCTAGTAAGAACTCTAGCTGCTGCATTCTGGATCAGCTGGAGTTTGTTTATTAAGCGTGCAGAACAACCACCCAATAAAGCATTACAATAATCTAACCTTGAGGTCATAAACGCATGAATTAGCATTTCTGCATTTGACATTGAGAGCATAGGTCGCAATTTAGATATATTTTTGAGATGGAAAAATTCAATTTTACAAATGCTAGAAACGTGGCTTTCGAATGAAATATTGCTATCAAATAGCACACCTAGTTTCCTAACTGATGACGAAGAATTGACAGAGCAGCCATCAAGTGTTAGACAGTGTTCTAGGTTATTACATGTGGAGGTTTTAGGTTCGATAATTAACACCTCTGTTTTTCCAGAATTTAGCAGTAAGAAATTACTTGTCATCCAGATTTTTATATCGACTATGTATTCTGTTAGTTTTTTTAATTGGTATGCAATAAAGTCTGCATATATATAATGAGGAACAGGAACCTGCTTTACAGATTCACAGACACAACTTACTTAGACACGTCACTCAAACACAGAACCAGGAAACACGTGAGTTCAGAGAAAGAGAAAGTGAAATTGTAGTTGAGCTGTTGTGTCTCTGTAATCAAGCAGTAAAATGGCTAAAGAAGCTAGAATTTTTCAGGATGAGTTTTTGTGCCCAGTATGTCAGGATCTCCTGAAGGATCCAGTGACTATCCAGTGTGGACACAGTTACTGTGAGAGCTGTATTACAGGCTGCTGGGATCAGGAGGATCAGATGAGAGTCTACAGCTGCCCTCAGTGCAGACAGACCTTCAGTCCAAGACCTGCTTTAGCTAGAAACACCACGCTGGCTGAAGTGGTGGAGAAACTGAAGAAGAGGAAACATCCTGCTGACTGTGATGCTGGAGCTGGAGATGTGCAGTGTGACGTCTGTACTGGAAGAAAATACAAAGCCGTCAAGTCCTGTCTGATGTGTCTGAACTCTTACTGTCAGCATCACCTCGAGCAACATGAGAGTTGGTTTAAAGGAAAGAGACACAGTTTGACTGATGCCACTGGACGACTGCAGGAGATGATCTGCCAGAAACATGAGAAGCTTCTTGAGGTTTTCTGTCGCACTGACCAGAAATGTATATGTCTGCTGTGTACGATAGATGGACATAAAAACCACGACACTGTATCAGCTGCAGCACAGAGGACAGAAAAACAGGTATTTTTAAACTAGTGATCAAGTTAATACTCAGTGTAGTGATCCAACAGTCCAAGTGTGTCAAACTCAAGGCCCCACATCCTTTTATGTGGCCTGCGGGAGCATATGATTGTCTTAAAATAAAAATATATGCTGCTTTATATCGTAAAATATGAACATGCTTATCATTTACATTTACATTTAATCATTTAGTAGACGCTTTTATCCCAAGCGACTTACAAATGAGGACAATCAAATCACATTATCAATACCACGAGATTGTGTTTCTATTTGGCGTGCTATTTGTTTTAGGGGTGTGGAGTAGGTGCGTGCATGCCAAAACTGCATATCATATGCACAAATAAATACATTGAGCGGACGAACCACTGATGCTAATGCGCTCTATTTATTAGGTGTGTTCGACTTGAAGTAGCGCTGCGCAGAACGATCAGTGTTTGATATCAAAGTACCGCGAGAGTGATTCGAAAGCATGAGGAGCGTCTGCTCTCTATAGCTCACTGTACTTTGATGACACACTGATTGGTCTGCACAGCGCAGCTTCAAGTCGAACACACCTCTTATAGTGTTGGGGGAGGGGCTGTGCTCGGTGGCTCGATTGCGTCATTGGGTCACGATTTAGCCCCACCCAAAAAATCCTGAACAGGAAAATTATGGAAAATTGTTTAACAGTCTAACTCCACAATTAAGTACTACATAGTTCACAGTCTTTGTAACATGTTTCAGCAATGCATTCCTAAAACGTATAATGTGTTTACAAACAATTCTCAGAATTGACTTTACAGAGACTTCAATTACATGAAACGTGCGATCTGCACTTCCGCATTTCGCCCCTTTCGTGTGTTCTGCAGCAGTCACTTGGAGAAGTCATCGCTTGTTGAACTTGTTGACTTTTTATGAGTTTGAGCGTGTGATGCGCGCTGTGAAAAAGTGTGTTGGAAACACTAAAACGCTTGAAAATAATGTACTGAAATTGAGGACCAATATGCACCTAATTGATGACCCGTGGCGTTAATATACTGCATCAGTGTCAGCGTGTGATGTAATAAAACTGCAGCTCGTTGATAAACGTTTTTGTTTGATCCATTTTATACAATCCGCCTTCATTTAGCAAGTGCACTCGCACATAAACAATTTTCAAGTTCAACACTTTTTGTTCCATTTAGTTGTGAATGCTGCTGATTCACTGAGACCGCCACGGCTCAGCAAAGAGACGTGCGTTTGCGTGTGTGTGTTTTCTTTTTAAAAAGTTTCCCCAGAAATACTTCCCTATTTAATGCATTTTTTTCCTTACAAATTGTATTATCAGCATAACAATTCGAATGAATGTGTAAAAGATAGGGCATGATGCCATCCTTCTAAAACAATGGGCATTTATGTTAAAATGGTGACATAAGTTATTCTCATTTCATTATTGCAAAACGTTAAAACTGGCACCATTTTGGAGAGAAATTGGCTCTTTTTAATCTCTCATTTTAACTCATCTCATGGTGTGTGATGCTGGACTCTCGTATGAGTTTCTAATGGTTTTTGTATTCTTTGCACTGTTCTAATTAATCATGTTATTCATATTTTATGTGCAACAACAGCATGCTGTCTTAGTGACCTTACACATGATTTTAAATCTATTTTTTCAAACTTTATGATTTAAATGGGGATGATTGTACTGAGAATAACTTTAAAGTTTTAAAGTTCTCAACTGAATACTGTTTCCGTGCTGTTTTGATGTATTTTAAAGAGTTGGCAGTCTTTAAAATGTGGCTACAGTGGCTACGGTGACCTCGGAATAAGAATGAGACAGTCTAATATTAGCGTAGATGCCACTGAGAACAATAAAGCACATTTTAATTGTAGTAAACACTCTAAACTTTTACACATATTACCTTAAGTCTTAGTGTTGAAAGTACACACACACACTATATGATGTAATAAAACTGCAGCTCGTTGATAAACGTTTTTGTTTGATCCATTTTATACAATCCGCCTTCATTTAGCAAGTGCACTCGCACATAAACAATTTTCAAGTTCAACACTTTTTGTTCCATTTAGTTGTGAATGCTGCTGATTCACTGAGACCGCCACGGCTCAGCAAAGAGACGTGCGTTTGCGTGTGTGTGTTTTCTTTTTAAAAAGTTTCCCCAGAAATACTTCCCTATTTAATGCATTTTTTTCCTTACAAATTGTATTATCAGCATAACAATTCGAATGAATGTGTAAAAGATAGGGCATGATGCCATCCTTCTAAAACAATGGGCATTTATGTTAAAATGGTGACATAAGTTATTCTCATTTCATTATTGCAAAACGTTAAAACTGGCACCATTTTGGAGAGAAATTGGCTCTTTTTAATCTCTCATTTTAACTCATCTCATGGTGTGTGATGCTGGACTCTCGTATGAGTTTCTAATGGTTTTTGTATTCTTTGCACTGTTCTAATTAATCATGTTATTCATATTTTATGTGCAACAACAGCATGCTGTCTTAGTGACCTTACACATGATTTTAAATCTATTTTTTCAAACTTTATGATTTAAATGGGGATGATTGTACTGAGAATAACTTTAAAGTTTTAAAGTTCTCAACTGAATACTGTTTCCGTGCTGTTTTGATGTATTTTAAAGAGTTGGCAGTCTTTAAAATGTGGCTACAGTGGCTACGGTGACCTCGGAATAAGAATGAGACAGTCTAATATTAGCGTAGATGCCACTGAGAACAATAAAGCACATTTTAATTGTAGTAAACACTCTAAACTTTTACACATATTACCTTAAGTTATAGTGTTGAAAGTACACACACACACTATATAGTTGCAGTGGAGCAGTCTGGTCACATGGCAGTGTTTGGAGCCTTGGAAGAAGTGACTGACCAGCATCTGAAAACTTGCAATGATGAGAAAGCAACAATGAAACCTTTGGCCACACCCTGATGGAGAAATAAAGTACAAATATCTCAAGAAATGAAATGATGCCTTTTA